GCAGAACAATTACATATTGGTAGAGGGAATTGATTCGCTTGGGAGTTCTATCTTATACTAATAAAATCATAGGTCCATTTCAGAATAAAAAATAATTAAAAATTTTAAAATAATTTTTCTATTCAGAAGATGACACACCTAGCAACACGGAAAAATAGCACATCCTTGACATATATCTATAAATATGATGCAAAAGAACAAAAGTGGAATCCTCTATTTTTAAAAAGATGAAGTATTAAAAGTTTGACTTTTTGCCTTTAGGTTTTATACCTCAATTTCCAGTACTTCTTAAAAAGTTTTTTTGCATTTTAAAATTTTAAATAAAATTTATAATAATTAAGATTAAAAGTCAATATATGCAAGACCATGGCTTTGTAGTGCTGGAAAATAAAGCATATGGTATAAGCATAACTTCTTAAACTACTTCACTTCTCTGCCATATTTTATATCTATATACGTGTGTATAAGTTGATTAAATTACTATTCTATGAGGAATCTACTTCATTTTCTTCCTCAAATTTGAAATATTTTCCTTCCTACAGTAGCAATGAATTTTATGCATTAATTTCAATGTAATTGAATAAAAGGTGCCGGTAGGGGAAAAGAAAATTAATCACATTTAAATAAACATATGAAGTATGTAGGGAGAACATTTTATATTAAACACCTGTACATAACGCAAAATGTAAGAATGTCCCTATATGCACATAAACATGAGTATGTTGCTAAATATATGTGCTGCTATATGCAAATATAATTATTACAATAAACTAGGGTAGTTACTCCAATTATAGTACTGTAAATATAGATCATCACAAAGAAAAAAGCGTAAAGATTCAGAATATGACTTGAAAACTAACTTAGCTGTTTTTAATCACATTTCCTTTATATGCACAGGGCAAATATGAAGTATAACAACAATTTTTAGTTGTCCAATAAACAAATGTTAAAATGGAGTCAAACAAATTGAGAATTTTAAATAATGGAATATCATTTACATACCTGTTCAAAGATATTATTTTACTAATATAATACTCTAATTTAAATACTAAATAACTACATGTAACACTGCATGCCATTTCAAAATAATCTTTGCTACATAAAAATGTGTTTTTATATAATTCTATTACCTAAGACAAGGATAACTTGAAATAATATAATGAAAATTCTGCAACTTAATTTTGAGGCTATAAGCCCTCAGGTCAAGAACAAAGCTGACCAACTTTACAAAGAACTGAATTGCTAGAACTTGAAAAAGCACAAAGCACTTCATTTAGGGTGTTATGTTTTGACCTAGATTTTAAGTTCTCCTTTCCTCCATGTTCCTAAATTAATTCATATGAATGGCTGATTAATAATAAAATGTCTTGCCATCAGAATTCAAAGCCCCAGCCTGAGCTGTCATGGCTGAGAGGGCAGAAATCTGCTGGAGCTATGAAAGAACCCAACTGAATTCGTGGCGTCTCAGTCTATGAATGTGTAAGCACTTCATCTGTTAAGAAAAACACAATGTTTTAGGAGACAGGAGTAAGGGTAAGGTTGGAGATGATGTAAAGGTATGACAGACTGAAAAAAAGAAATATAAAGGTAAAGTAAGTGACAGAAGTAAGCATTTTATTTCACCAATAAAGTTGCTTTACTCAACTACTATACTAAATATACCTATTTCTTCATTATCACTTCTGTCAAATAAATAGTTATGATCATGTGACTCAATATGGCATAGGCTAAGAGAACTCTTGGTAGTCTCATGTGATAGCTGCCAATCAAGGTAAAATACTGATAATTTCCAAATAAGTCATATTTAATTTAATTTCATTAAAAGGCTGTAATTACCATTAGGCTTTGCAAGAAAATGGAAATTCCCTGACAGATCAAAATCAGAAACCATATTGCTTAACAAACAAATTTTTTTTTAGTTTTGGTTTTACTATGTGTAATAATTATTACTGAGCAATGTTTTCAGGGTTTTAAAGTTACTATATTTCACCGAAAGTTTCACCAGTGAAAAATGGACACCAATGTTTAATACAGTCAATGGAAAACAAACAATGCTACTAAACACAGTCTCTCCATTATCAGAGAATCTAGGTTCACACACTTCTGACCACCAGTTATTTAACATCCCTGGTCCTCAGTTTCCTCATTGGTAAAATAAAGGAGTTGAACTACATGGCCTTTGAGGTCCCTTCCAGCTCCAGTCAATGATCCTATGGATTCTAACTGTCTCTGTCAATGGAACAGAAGGGATTTTCCTGAGATAGATACAATATTAAGGGCTAACCTGTGCAGCACAGACACTATCATCTAGAAGTTGATTATTTATCTACTATTGCAGATCCACCTATTTCCCACCTCTTGGCCATTCCCAATCATCTCAGGATGCCCCCTAGTCCATTTAAACTGAACAAAGCCATAAGTGAACTCACCTTTGCCATTAAAGCCACCTGTCTTCCAAACACTCTTATTTATGTCATTCCAAGTCACCTCCATTTGTAATCTTGGCATTATCCTTAACTTTTTGCTCTCAGTCCCCATAATCACTGCCAAGTCTTGACAATTGTACCTCAACAACATCTTTTGCATCTGTTCCCCTCTCTCAAGACAGTCATCACCTTAGTTTCTAGGGGTGGGGAACCTGCGGCCTCGAGGCCACAGGTGGCCCTCTAGGTCCTCAAGGGCAGCTCTTTGACTGAATCCAAATTTCACAGAACAGGATTTGTTTGGATTCAGTCAAAGGGCTGCCTTTGAGGACCTAGAGGGCCACCTGTGGCCTCGAGGCCGCAGGTTCCCCGCCCCTAGTTTAGACCCTCACCACTTCTCACTCAGACTACTGAAATAGATGCCGCCTAGCGTTTGGTCTCTCTCATCTCTAATTCATCCTCTCAATGCTGTGGAATAAATATTCCTAAAGCAGAGATCTGACTGGGTCATTCGCAGCTCAAGAAGCTCTGGGAGCTTCCTACTTCTTATAGGATCAAAAACCCTTCACAATCTGGCCCCCAATGTCTCCTTAAAGGCTGATTTCACACTCCTCTATCCCATCCCACCCCTCCCCTACCCCAAACTGGTCCACCTGCTGTTCCCTATACAGGGTATTCCACTGGTTGTGGTACTGCCTCTGCACAGGTGGGATATTCTCCCTACTCACCTTCACCTCCTGGAATCTCTAGGTCCTTTCAAGGTTTAATTGAGTAGATGGCAGAGTTGGGATCGAGCCCAGAGATCCTTTGACTCAAAGCCAGTGCTCTTATCACTACAGAATCCTGAGTCAAAGTGGGTACTTAATAGATGACTGTTGTATTGAAATAAATTCAATATCAATTATTGTTGTGGTTAGTATTTTACCAGAAATTTCCTAGTTGTTACTGCAGAAAACCTTTGGTTTGAACTGTCTCTCTAGTTTTAGTCCTTTTTTTTTTTTAAAAAGATCAGCCTTTAATGTGGTAAAGAATCCTTCTTCTTTTTGTCCTTCCAGAAGATGAGCCCCTAGCAGTCCTAGTATCCTTTGGGAAACCATTATTCATATGGCTTCCATTACATGAATAAATCTCTCATCTTCACTTCTTGTTCTTATCTTACACCCTCCAATTATTTCCATGGCATTTCCATTAAAAAATAACAACTGACCTTTATTAAGCATTTAAAAAAGTGTAAAGTACTTCACATACAATATTTCCTCTTGACAACCGCAAGGGGTAATTTTTTTTTTTTAAATCAGCCTTAGAATTTTACTAGTATGGAGAGTTTACAGTAATGGAACATACAGCAGACCCCTGCTCTGCAATATAAGTCTTAGTTTCCAGGGGCACTAAGAGGTTAAGTAACCTGTTCAGGGCCACCCAGCACATCTATGTCAGATAGAACATCAGGGCCTTGTTGGTTCTGAGGCTGGCTTTCCAGCCACTATGCTTGCTGCCTCTTGTGAGGGAGTTACTACAGGGAGTGTTATCTTGATTTTGCAAATAAGGGAAATGAGGCTTTAGGATTTTAAGGGACTTGTCCAAAGTCACACACCCAGTAAAAAGTGGAGACAGGATGTGAATCCAGCTCTTGAATCTAGTTCTAGGGCTTTCTCCATTTATGCCATGTTGCATCTTACTTAAAATCTCAAACATATGAAATTAGTCAAGATTAGGGGGGGCTACTGAATCTCCAGAATTATTTCTTCATAATTTCTCCATCATTATCAATGGCATAACTCTCCCACATTCAACCCATTACCAAATATTTTTTAGTTTCACAATTATATATAGCATGCTACAGACTGCTAAAGTTTATAGAAATATACCACTTGCGAACATTATTAAATAAGAGTTATTGAAACATGATTAAGACCAAACTTAAAAAAAAACCAACTACTTTTTCATCTTTGAACAGCTCCATAATCATATATAATTCTTCTTTCTCATGTACATCCAAATTGCTTTGAAATGGGAAATATTCCCTGAAATGATCAGCTTCTGTGAAGACCTGTTGTTCTTTGAAATCTAAACAAGGATCTTTTAATAAAAACTTTTAGTCTACTCAAGAGGGTATACAAAGTAAGTAGTTGTTTTTTATACTCCACCAAATTATCTATAAAAATCATTTCATCATCAACATATACATTTTTCAGGGAAATTTTCCACAGAAAAAGCTGTCTTCCACTGATCGAGCACTAAGAAATCTTTCATTTGTAGAGTTGTGGGGACTGAGACTCTTGTCCATGGCTTCCTAAATTTGTCATCAGCAACAACTCCAGCATGACAATTATACTCATGATGTAAATATAAAGGAATATGAAGCAATAATGATCTAATACTTAATTTCTTTCTAACCACATTAGAGGTTCACAGAACATGAAGGAAGTTGCCCCAGAGTTTCATCCAACCTCCCACACTACCCCAGTTTTAGTCATTCTTAAAAGCCATACTATACTTTGAGGTGGTATTTGCAAAAAGGGAAGGGAGAACACCAAGTATTCTAAAAGAAAAGTAAACAGCATATATTTTCCATACCTCTTCATCCTTCATGTTCACATCCACTTTTTTTGATCTGATGGCTTTGGTTATGTGGTCAATGTTGTTTTCCCTGCAGTAATCAAATATGTTTTTGTCTTCTTCTCTAATTAGGGTAGAAAAAGTAGATGCTCTCTTAATATATAACATATAACACACACACACACACACACACACATATAATACAAGCTGTTAATGTAAAAACATGCAAATCAAGAGAATCATTGGAGTAGTTCATATTTCCAACATTTTTTATGAGTTTTCCAACATTACATGGCACAGCCCTACTACAAGAGATATTATAATCCTATCAAATGATTTCCTCCTATGGAGCTAAAAAAATCCTTTTTTAATGTGCATTCCAAAATGGAATAATAACGTTTATTTTGACTAGTGCTTTGTCTTTTTCAAAGTCACTTTTGTTCTGCAAAGAATGTATATTTCCCTACTGATTCCATGCTCTCACACTAAAGACTAACATACTTTTTATTGCAAGTAAATAATTATTAAAGGGTCAGTATATTATTAAAGGGACTAACACATTGCTTGTCACCTTAAAAAGGTAAGAGAGCCCTATAGGATAATAGAAAAATCAGTGAAATATAAAGCAGAATGTAAACTCCAAGAAGGCAGGAATGATTTTTTTGTTTGTTTGTTTTCTTAAAAATCTTTGTATCCCCAGGTCTGGCACAGCACCTTTGATAAATGTTTATGGAATTAAAATGCCACTTGGGTAGTTTTACTAAGTTTTTTCCCCTCATTTTATGTAACTAGAAGCAGTTGTTCAGTTGTGTCCAATTCTTCATTACTCCATTTGGGGTTTTCTTGACAAAGATACTACAGTGATTTGCCATTTCCTTCTCCAGCTGATTTTACAAATGAGGAACTGAGACAAACAGGGTTAAGTAACTTGCCCAGGATCACAAAGCTAGCAAGGGTCTGAGGCTGGATTTGAGCTCAGGTGTTCCTAACCCCAAGCCTGGTGCTCTATCCTGCACTACCTGGCTGCCTCCCATATTAAGTTATCTTCCTATTATAACAGTCAGATTATGATGTTGAAGGGCTAGGAGGTGAAAAGGTAGATAAATGCTGCCTTACGCAACATGGAAAAATTCTTTCACAGCTGCAAAAGTAGAAAGGGAGAGGAGCAGCTGATAACAGTTTCATAGGGATATTTAAGAATGTCAGGAAGTTTTTATTATATTGCAAAGGATGGTGTATATGGGGCTAGGCCTTGGTGCAGAGTCAAGTGTTAATAGAAAGTTAGGCTCAAATCAGGAGACTGGTAGTGCCTGGCACATAGCAGGTGCTTAATAAATGCTTTTGAATTTAATTTTTTTTTAAAAGCTAACAAATGCCAAGCCCTTTAGGCATTTATTAAGTATTATTTAATGGAATGGATCAATTAAAATTAAACATCCATAGGAGAAATTCAATAAAGTTCCGATATTTTTACTCCACTACAACTCATCCTCACTCTCTTATCCTGTTTAATTCTTATTTGATCTTTCAGAGGCTCTACTCATCATCATTAATACACAATGCATTGAAAAATTCTTTACAGTATCTTATTAAAGATATCTTCCTCCAGTCTGTAACATAATTGCTAAGTAGGGCACTCCCCATTATCAACAGTGGTATGTTGATTTTAATGTTTCCAGCCTCTCTAATCCACTCCATTCTCCACCTGGCTGCCAAATTTTTGTTTGTAAAGCATAGGGGGGCAGCTAGGTGGCACAGTGGATAGAGCACAGCCCCTGGATTCAGAGGACCTTAGATCAAATCTGACCTCAGACACAAAACACTTACTAGCTGTGTGACCCTGATAAGTCACTTAACCCCACTGCCTAGCTCCCAAAAGAAAGAAAGAAATAAATTATAAAGCATAGGTCAGACCCTCTCACTCCCTGCTCAAGAAGATTCAATGGCTCCCAAATAACTCTAGAATGGAAGACAAACCTGTTATTTAAATTGTTTCACAACCAATAAGAAATACAGGAAATGGAGTACAGAAGTCTATCCCGCCCCACAGGAAAATAGAAGGGGAAGAGGATAAGAGAAGGGGAGAGAGATAGAAGAGAGGGCAGAGTAGGGGAAGGGATATTCAGAATGCACGCCATCTTGGGGTGGGGGGAGGGGGAAGATGGGGTGAAAATTTGGAACTCAAAAACTTGTGGAAGTGAATATTGAAAACTAAAAATAAATAAATTTATATTAAAAAAAATTGTTTCACAACCTGGCTCCAACTTACTTTTTCAGCTTTCTAACACATGACTCCTGTTCAGGCACTCCAGAGTCTACCTAAACTGTCTTTCTTACTGCTCCTCACACAGAACACAGCACCTCCAGTCTCTATAAAGGTTTTTGCACTAATCAGTTTCCCCTTTCCCCCCAATATGGAATTCACTTTATCTTCATCTTTGCCTTTGAATCTCTAATTTCCTTCAAAACTTAGCATAAACACCACAAGGCCTTTCCTGATTTTCCCTAACTGCTAGTGTCTCCTTTCTAAAATTTGTTTTTAAAAATATATTTAGCATATGCTTATGTGTGTTGTCAACCAATTAACCAATAAGCAGACATTAAGCAGCCATTGCAAATACCAAGAATGAAATAATTCCCTACTTCCAAGGAGCTTATATTCTGACAGGTAAGACAGTGAGTCCATAAACATCCATAGAGAACAAATAGATTGGTTAAGACCAGTTTTGATGCTGCAATTTAATCAGCACAGAAACTTCAAATCATGAACTAATGTCCTGGGCAATGCAGATATGCATCTTCTCTACAACTTGTTTAGTTAGTTACAGCTTTTGACAGAACTAGGGAAGTTTGGAAGAAGAGTAAGTTTTTGGGGAAAGATGATGAGTTCTGCTGTTGACAGGTTGAGTTTGAGATGTCTTGGGGACATTAAATTTGAAATATCTAAAAACAACTGGTGATTAAAGATGAGAACAAGGACTGAGGTTGGATATACAGATTTGTGAGTCATCTGCCCAGAGATAAATAATTAATCATACAGAAGTTAAAGCCCAGCACAGAGTTTTGGGGAATACTTACAGTTAGGAGTCAGAAGGAACATGTATTAATAACATCCCTCTCCCTACCTCTTTTCCTCACTTTCACTTGCTGAAGTTAACTCAATCTTAATCGTCCCCTTTCCTTCTCCCCTCATCCTTTGTAAAAGCTCAGCTGTTACATATATGGCGTTAAAACTTTCATTTATGAAATGGTACCAGGACAATAAAAGATCTTAGGATGTTCTTGGGACACAGAGTGGGACATAAGAAAAAAGAACAGATAAAGTGAACCAAACCAGCTTTCATCTGTAAAAAGTTACAGTTCTCCCTTTAGCTACAGAACCCTGACACAGCATTTGGACAGGTGCCATTTTTGTGCTAAGTTATTTAACCTTTACAAAGTGCTTGGATGCCAGCCAGCTTTATCCCAGAGTAGCATAAATTGAAGACACCTCTCTTTAGACTTCGGATTCCTCAATTAAGGACAAAAATGTATGTGAGACACCTATCAGACAATAAAGATCCTGGATCCTAGATGCTGAGGTGCCAGATCAGCTGAGCAGGGATTCTGCTCATAGGCAGCTGACAATACATAAACAATGGCCTTTACCTGAAAACTTTCTCTCCCTTTTTATCACTATCATTTTAAATAAAGTTATTTTTCCTTTTCATTGAGTCCATAAATGTGGCCTTATTGTGAAATTTTGAGCCCAGACATCACAGCTGTATTCTGTAAAATGGTAAACTTGTTGATATTTTTCATCTTAACCTATGATAATAATAAAGTCAACAAGCATTTAATTAAATGCCTACTGTGTTCCAGGTACTACGCTAAGCAATGAGAATACAACAAAAGGCAAAAATAGCCCCTGCTCTCAAGGAACTTACAATCTAATGGGAGAAACAATATGCAAACAACTATGTACAAATGATATATTCATGATAAGTTGGCATTCAGCAGGAAAAGCTTCCCTGAAGGCTGTCCTGGTTAGAGGGACATAAATGAAAATGAAAAGGCCTGGAGTTGAGAAATCGGAGAATCTTGTCTGAAGAAGAGAAAGGAGGCCAGAGTCACTGGATCACTGAGTATATAAGAAGACTGGAAAGATAGCAATGGGCCAGGTTGTGAAGGGCTTTAGAAGCTAAAGAGGACATTTTATACTTGATCCTGAGGGTCACAGGGAATCACTGGAGTTTATTTAAAGGGGTCAGGGAGTGAATATGGTCAGACCTCCACTTTAATAAGATCATTTAGTTAAGAGTGTAGAGGATGGACTGGAGAGTGGAAAGAGACTTGAGGCAGGGAGGACAACTCAAGATTCTGATAAATAGTTAAAGCATGAGGTGATGAAAGCCTGCACCAGGGAGGTAGTAGGAGAGAAGGTGGTGATATGGGCAGAAGGTAAAATTGACAGGACTTGGCAACAGACTAGATAAGTGAAATGAGAGTGAGAAGTTAAGGATGACACCTAGGTTGGGAGCCTGGGTGACTGGATGATGGTACCTTCAACAGTAATAGAAAAGTTAAGAAGAGAAGAAGGTTTGGGGGGAAAAGATAATGAGTTGAAATTTGGACATGTTGAGTTAAGATGTCTACTGGACATCTAGTTAGGGAGATCCAACAGACAGTTGGAGATGTTAGACTGGAGATCAGGATAAAAGCTGAGGGGAGGGGGGAGCTTTGATCCTCACAATAATTGTGTGAGGTTAAGTGCCTTTTGGTATTATTGTCCCCATTTCACAGATAAGGAAAGAAATTTGAGATGAGTGACTTGTCTGTGTTTATACAATTATTAAGTGTCAGGGGGACAACTGGAACCGTCTTCTCTCTTGACTAAGCCTTTCCATTACATTAGTGCTCCATAAATTCACATTTGTATTGTTATTTCTTCGAAACAATCCTATAGTGAAGAGGATGCAGGTATTATTACCTATATTTTAAATAGAAGGAAACCAGGCTCAGAGAGGTTTACTGACTTGGCTGGAGTCACCCAGCAATTAAGTGTTAGAACCAGTAATCAAACCATGTCTTTCATTTTGCTATATAAGTCCTTCATCTCCCAAAATTTCTTTCAGATGAATTACC